GTTATGTTTTTATTTTAGGTTTATGTAATAAAATTATTTGTTGAACACATTTCCAACAAATTTTAGCTCAAACACACACCTGTTTTATTTATATTAAAAAATTTTAGTGAAAAAGAAAAAATAAAGATTGAATGAAAGAGATTATGTTTATGTAAATATGTTAGTCATTTAATTTAATCTTCAAAAATAAGTATAATGTAATGTTGATACAAAATAACATAGTTTAGCCATTTTGAAAATGTAAATTACTTTTACATTATATCAACTATAAGCTCGACAAACCTATAAGTGGCTAATGTATCCCAAATGAACTCATATTTTTGTCCAAAATGTTAATCATATACAAAATGATTGAAAAGTATGTTTATTTAAAACTTTAGATTATAAGAGCAAAGAAAATATAAGATAGAAAAGTTTGCATTTTATAAATTACTAAAATTACCATGCACATTTCAAACTTAATGGCTTATGTAATACCCATTATTATTATTATTATTTTAAATCTCAAATCCCTAATAGTTTTATTGTATTTTTATTACACATATTGTTTATATATCAATGATCAGGTCATTTGAGTTTATTGGTATTTATGAGATGCTATTATAATACAAAACATTAAAATGCTTTAAAACATATAAAGCGGATAAAAATATACGGTATAGTTATTTCATATTAGACTAACAAATCAATTATATTTTATACTTTATATAACTGAGTTGTTTACTGTATACTACAAAGTACTACACCGTATATAATATTTGCTTTGTATACTATACTGTAATTATTTTATTCTTTAGTTTGAATTACATTAAAACATATTTTAATTAATTAATTTTTACTCTAGTTTTAATTAATATATTAAAATTAAAATCAATACTAATACTAATGATATTTGAATAATTAAATAAAAATACAATTAACATAAATTTAATTCTCTCTCTCTCTCACTCACTCACTCACTCACTCACTCACTCACTCACTCACTCACTCACTCACTCACTCACTCACTCACTCACTTCTCTCTCTCTCTCTCTCTCTCTCTCTCTCTCTCTCTCTCTCTCTCTCTCTCTCTCTCTCTCTCTCTCTCTCTCTCTTGATATATTTTATAACAAGATTTTGGTTTTTAGGGGCTCGAAATATCTTGGGGGGGATTCACCGGTATAAGGTGAAGTGTATAGTTTTATTGAATTTTAAATGTAAATTTTTTCAAAATTAAATAAAAATCAATGGGGTCAAGAAAAAATTGTCTCATGGTCATTTTTTCAGGTAGGGGTCAAATAAGGGAATAAAGTCACAAAATCTTGATCTTAAGGGTATTTTGTCATTACTTTCTTACTTCCTTCTTAACCCTGATATACAGTATATATATATACAATATATTTCTCTATTTTTGTTTCTTTGTTAAGAAAACACATTTTATTTAAGAGAACAACTTTCAAAGATTCATATTTATTGAGTGAAAATAAATACACAAAACTTAATATTATAAATATGATGTTATAAACAAATTTGGTTGGTTTCAGATTTTTAAATGGATTCAAATAGAAGTATAGCTTAAAATACATGTCATTAGAGACTATTTAATTCAAAATCATTAAAATGTATTTCGAAATATTCGATTTTAATTCGAAAATTAAAATTTAATTTTGGTATAATTTAGTTTATAATAAATTATTTATGTAAATTTAGCGATAATTATATAATTCTGATATTAAAATAAAAATTTTATTTTAAAATAAAGATATAATCAAATTCTTGCATTTTATTTTTTAAATATAATTTCAAGTAATTTTTATATAATTTTTAATTTTAAATATAATTCTGAAATCAAAATTTATATTCAAAACATATAATATCTTAAAGATAAACCTTATAATTATTTTTAGTTTAAGTGAAATTAAAAAAAAAATAAAATATTCAAAAGCTTTAGATTCAATTATCGTATTTAAATCTAAAATATTTATTTAAACTGTATATTAATACGTGTTGAATAGTTGGAATATATTTTTATGTGATTATTAGTGTTGGCAAAAAAGAGAAATTTCTAGAAAGTTTCTAAAAGAAATTTCTATCTATGGGATCCCTATGTAAATTTTGTTATCTCGATATTTGCTATTATATAACAATACATTAAATATTATTATTAGTATTAGTATTTTAATTATTAGTTAAAGTAAAAAATTAATTAATTAAACTATTATATATTATAATATATATATAATAAAATGAATAAAATTTTACAAAACTAATTATTATTAAATAATTATAATTATTTTATATATAGGTATCCCATTTGTATAGTACTGTACTATACTGTATGATATTATATGTATAGTATTATATCTTATTGAAATACTGTTATTACAATAACTATAGATACGGGGATCCCATAGTATAACATTAAAGTTAAATTTCTAGAAATTTATTCATGAGAAATTTTCTATTTGCCCATTTCTAATGATTATATATATATAATAGTATAATGTTTATAAAAACTAAATTATTAGAGATATGTCCCCTACACTGTATATATTATTTCTTTGTAATTAATTTGTATAACTTAGTGTATAATATAGTACATATAATTTACAGTAGTTACAAATAAATAATATATACAGGGTAAAAGGAGTTATAAATAGTTTAAGATGGCAAAAATTAATTAATTAATCAAAATTAGAATTATTTTTTATTAAAATTATTGTTTTTAAATGTAGTTATGTTTCATTAAAATATCAATTGTTGTTTATTCATAATTTATAAAAATTTAGAAAATTTAACTCTAAAAAAACTAAATTCAAGATATGTCCCCACTATATATCAACAAGTGATAAAAATATAAAATACTATATAAGTATTAATACACAATATATTACACATACTGTAAGTCTATATTTACTGACACATAAATATTCCTATATTTTTGAACATTTTTTATTATTAATATACAGTGTATATGAAAAATGCAGTATTTGTAACAAAAAAATAGATTTCTACTAATTTATATTAATGAATGAATGAGAGAAATGATGTAAAAATTGTTTATATCAGTCATATCTTAAATTAAGTCATTAATCATTAGCTGATCCGCTAATAAATGAAACGAATCAACACTTCTTGTGTTATCCTTATTTAACTCCAATTTCTCCATCACTACTAATAGTAGTACTAATGTTATGCATTTATTTTAGGCATACAATTATGTAACACAAACCTCAAAATATATCAACCGATTTAATGTCTATAAAACTTAAATAAATTTACTAATAAAAATAATTAATACATTTTTGTTGGATATTTTCATCAGCTTTGTATTGATTGTATTGTCGTAAATGACAAATACTTTTATTGACAATATATATCAATTTAATTAATATTTTTTCCTTAATAGTAAATGTGTAGTAATTTTTCATTTTGCAGACACTTATATTCTCAATGGATTACAATAATATAACCGTTAAATACAATTGCAATTAAATTTCAAGAATAAGGCATGTATTGGATAGTAGTGAACGAACCATATATTCATTAATTTTGATGATCAATGAGTCGATCGCTAATAAAACAGCACTCAAACTATTGTAAAGATAAGGCCACAAAAAATTGCGATATTATTTGAAAGCTATTAATATATGTCTATTTAATGAAAAAATTGATGATTTTTTAAATAAATTGATTGAAAAGATTTCAATTGCTTTTCTATATATTCTTTATTTTATAGAAAGTCCGGAAAATTGTTTTTTTGTGTGAAAAATAAATCAGTTTTCTTGTGAAACATTTAAGCTTTTAAATCCATTGATTTATAATATGAAGTTTCTTATTTAATGTAATATCTACACATGTATAAATAGTTTGTTATCATATTATTTCATAAAAATAATGACAAAAAAAGTATAACTCAATTAAATAAAAATTATGGACAAATAATATAAAATTAATTTTACTATTGTTTTATACAAAAATTATTGTTTCTAAATGTAAGTTTATATGCAATGATAACTTATGATTTCCCCAATGTATTCATGCAAACGTATTATTATCTTCAAGTCATCACTAATTATGAAATATCGCTAATGTTATAAAACAATATATGAAAACCTATGATAACAAATATATATAGTACTGTACAAAGCATTACTGGTATTGTAAGTTATACGGTATAACTTATACCTCATATAGATATTACAGTACCGTATATGTCAAGTATATAAAATATTATTATTATTATAATTGTAGTTCAATGCATTTATATATTATTAATTAAGTACATATATAAAACTATACATCCGTTATAATACCGTATATCCCTTAACATCAAAATGTTATTGTATTGTATTTTTTGGTTCATTTACTAAAAGAAAAATATAAGAGAAATATTCAATCAACGGAACGCAAGAATAGACACAAATAGAGTGGGAATACATAATGAGTGGCAAATAATTACCAAAATTGACAGACATTTCAATGATGACAATAACTATACAATAGTTATATTTTTCCAAAAATCATTCAATTCTCACGGGATTCCCGTTAATCTAATAGCAATATATTTCACTATTTGCACAATATTTCTATTGTAAAGATTATATAAAGTTAATTTTTTTATCTAAGTATCAAGATAAAACTATTAATATTTCGAAAACTATTTGACCAATTTTAATTTTAAAATAATTTTTATGATTTATCAATCGGGGGAGTATATCTATAAATTAAATTAAACAGTATTAAAATTGGTCAAATAATTTTCGAGATATTAATAGTTTTATCTTGATAATTAGATACAAGTCACTGTATATATTAAAATTACTTTTAATTGAATAAATACTATTTTCTAAATAATATTATTTCATTTTCATTATCAATCACTTTTATAAATGATTCAAGAAATTTACACAAATTATTTGTGTGTTGTTAAAAAAATTACAATTAATATCATACTATTAAACTGTTTATTATTGAGCAAAATATGCTTTTAAAACAAATATATAAAACTATTATGTAATAAATAATATTTTATTAATAATACAACGTATTAAACATATCTATAATTATGAAGATTATTGTCTATAAAGTGGTCAATCATTAAACATAGCGGACACCACTTTCGGTGTTTTAGTGCGGGCTCTGTAGTCGTACTCAAACAAACCCATATTGTCGTCACACATCTTCTGATACAATGTACATAAGCGGCCGATCTCTTCAACTGAAAGCATAGTACATCTGAGTTCGGGATCAATGTCGGCCTTTTCGAATATTTCGGGCAAAAGTTCTTCTTTAAGATCAGGAGGAAAAAGTGTGGCCACACAGTTACGGATGTATTTGTTTCGGTAATGAAATAATTGGCGACAAAATTTCTCGACATAAGCGATGGGAACTTTGATTCGCGGCTCAATAAGTGGCGTAAATTTGACGTAAGAGACGTCCACTTTAGGCGGTGGTGTAAATGCCGTACCATTTATTGTAAACCTTTGCTCTACTTTACATAAATGCTGACACATTACAGAAAGTCTGCATCTCATCATTGATAGCGTCGGTGCTATAATTCTTTGGCCGACTTCATATTGAAAGGTAAGCGCTAGTGTGACCCTTCCGTATGAAAATATACCGGTTCTGTTGGACAACTGCCGTAACCACCTAATGATCAAAGGTGTCGACACATTGAACGGTAAGTTACCCACAATTTGAATGGGAGGCGACTCGTCTGTCCATTCGCGACGAGTCTCTTCGGGAAAAAGTTTTTCAAAACTATAGTCCATAACATCTCCGATAATGATCCGCATCTGTCCCGGATATGCCGCGTCCGATAACATCTAGTAATCCATTAAATCAGATATAATGGTATCAATAATTGTCTCAAAACTTACTTCAAGCATCGGAAGAAAGCGACGATCCTTTTCAATGACATACAGCTGTTTCGGTCCCTTTTCCAGTATCTGTCGGGTGATATTTCCCGGTCCCGGACCCACTTCTAGGACATGACTGCCCTCTTTGACACCTTTGAACAAACAAAGTATCCTTAATATCAATCAATGGTATTATCAATGAAATACCTGCTGAGACAACAATACGTTCGTTAATATTCTTCTGAAGCAAAAAATTTTGCGACAATTGTTTTCTGGCCTTAACTTTGTAAATACGAATCAAGTCTTTCGGTGTCGGCAACGGTGGCAGTCGTTTCGGAACTAATTCAATGGCCGACGGCTTTATTGTCGACTTGACTATTGTTTTGCCGCCGCATATTAGGGTCCGATTCAAACACATTTTCAGTCACTGTTGTAATGACCCGACGGTCATAATAAGCGGTCACACAAATGACAGAAATCGGCAAACGTTTAGTGATTTTCAAATCAAAACAATTTTGTATACAATTTGTAGAAAACATGTGTTTTGAATGCATTGTGTGTGACATCTATTGACTGATTATTACAATTTAGTGTCAATTCTATCACATTATTCTCTATTCATTGCATTCATTAATTTCACAATATATTCAATATTGATATCAATTTTAAATAAATAATTAATTTTTATTTTGAATTAACTCATTACTACAATATGTATTGCAATTAAAACATTGGTAAACATTTTGTTTGCAATATTTTTTCTGTTGTATGTCAAGTGAATACTGAAGGAAAAAAATTAATTAAAATCTAAATAATTGACAACTCATTAACGCAAACAATATAATAGTTTACTATAATATTGATAGAGTTGTAGTATTAATATTAAAATTAAATATTAATCAACACAAGTCATCATAGATTTTCAATTTGTTGTATAACTTGGTTTGTGTGTGTGTGTGTGTGTGTGTGTGTGTGTGTGTGTGTGTGTGTGTGTGTGTGTGTGTGTCAGTGCTATAATGACCATTAGTTTAGATGTAATTTACAGTTGAGTTGATTATATTTAATATTTAAATTTTAACAAACTGTGTACATGTGTTTTGCATATATTACATTTTATTTTGTCTAATCTTAAATTGTTAAAACATTATCAGTTAAATATTTTAAGATATGCTTATTAATTTGATTTTTACTGTATAGTATATATATAGATGCTATAAATACTAATTAAGGTTTAAAATTTAAAAGTTTAGTTAATTTTTAAATATAATTTTAAGTTTAAAAATAAATATTTTATTACTTCTTGTTTAATTGATTTTTTGTTTTTATGATAATACTTAATATTAATTTTATTAAATGTAAATTAACAAAAACAAATACAATATTAGATTATGAAATATACAAATAAATAATTTAATAAAAGTTCTTAATTTTTTATTTTAAGAATAAATAAATTTAATTTATTAAAGACTAATATTACAAAAATGAAGACGTAATCAAATATACAAATTTTATGTATAAATAAAATGAATTTTTGAAATTAACTCAAAATAAAGTACTAAATACTAAAGTAAAATCGCTTTTAAATCTGTAAAAAGCAATTTTTTAGTTTATATTCAGTAACTTAAAAATTTATTATAATATATTAATTTTTTGATTTAGTCTAATAAACTATTTATTGGAATCATTATTATTTCATATAATGTTCAATAAAAATATAGAATATTAATAAATAAAATAATTTTTTCTAAATTTTAAACTATTTAACTATTATTTTTAAAATTATTCCAAGTTTGTTTTATTCAATTTATATTTAATAAATTATATATTATTACTAATTTAAAGATACTAAAATTTATGTATATTAAATAGTAGAGTTATATATTATTATAAATTATAAATTATATATAAATTATATATATACTGTATATATTTCTATAATAAATAAATTAATTATTGTCATATTATCAAAATTATTCACAATTTATATCTTACAAATTATTTTGAATTTAAAATTTAATAACTAAAACTAAAAAATGCAATAGATATAAAACAAAGTTTAATATTAATTATTAATAAATAAAAAATTGCAACAATTAAAATATAACAATGAACATTAAATTAATTTAAGTGTGAGTGATTTGCTCTAGATACTATTTAATAATTTTATAATAAAAATAAGATAATAAAATTGATACAATTTTAATGGTAATGATTGTGTTACAAGGTTTCCATAAAACAACATATTATTTGCAATCCGTGTTAAACAAGTCATAATCAGTTACTTTAATTATATGATTATTTTTATTTATATTATTATACTATTACTACAATTATAGAAAAACAGGTTAATTTATATTTAACCCATTTTTTCTCTAAAAATATCAGTGTTTTCAGTTTGAAGTCTATAATATTTATCGACTAAAGTTGTACTTAAAGTATTGTACTAAATTATGCTGTAAATTATATAAATTTTATCTAAATTATATAAATAATTTAAATTTTGATTACAGTTAAAGTTAGAAAAATAAAAATGTTATTTTTAGTATTAAATTATAATCATAAAGAACTATGGGATCCCCATATCTATAGATATTATAATACTATATTAATGAGACATAATACTATACATATATTATACTATATAGTACACAATTATACAAAATGTGATACCTATATATAAAATAATTATTTAATAATAATCAGTTTTGTAAAAATTTTATTCATCATTCAAATATACAGTATATATATATATCATAGTTTAATATAATTAAATAAATAAATTTTTTACTTTTAATAAATAATTAAAATACTTATATTTAATTATTACTAGTAAAAACAATGTAAAAGCAAGTTAAAAAATATCGATAAAACAAAATTAACACGGGGATGCCATAGATAGAAATTTCTTTAAGAAACTTTATAGAAATTTCCCTATTATTTTATAAATTTCTCTTTTTGCCAACACTATAAACAGTAGATTAGTCTACATAAAAAATATATTTATAATTAAACAAAAATCAAATAATTAATTTACACTAATTTTATTTTAGTTTATTCTTTAATAAAACATGTTTTAATTTTTGTAGTTAATCTTAGCTTTTATTTTTTGGTAAAATATGTAAAATAAAAAACTGATTTTTTAATCATTTTGATTTATTGTTTTATATTTGCCATTTTAATAAACAGTACAAGTTTTTATTATGCCATTTTATTTACAATTTAAAAGTCACTAAAAATAGATAGCAATATTATATATATAAACTACTAACTTTTTACAGTATTAACTTTATTATTACAGTATATATAATATAAATTAATAATAAAAATCTTATAGAAAATTGTTAGTAAAATACCCTTGCAAAAAATATTATTTTAATATTAATTTTATTTAAATAAAATTATTAAATTATTTTTACATTTAATAATCATATTAATTCTTTATTATATTAAATTGTTAGTTTGCAATCTAATCTATAGACTCTTTAATAAATATTACTATTATAATATATTAATTAATTATATTAAATAGAACTTATTATTATTATTACTGTATTATATCAAAAAACCTATATTTTTATTATAAAATATTTGACATTTATAATGACAAAAAAAGATTTATATAAGATAAAGACATTAATTGAATAATAAATAAATGCCAATAAATTTTATAAGTAACACATTTTATCTTTGTTTTTTTTGCTATTATATATTCAATCATAACATAGATTTATTTGATTTATTTAATTAGTATAACAGTTTTGGCCATCAGATCAACAACTTATTTGAACTGTTGTTTAACAATTATCAGACTATTTTATATTAGTTGTACTGAAAATATTAAAAATAATAATAATTTTGTAAAATATAACTTAAAAGTTTGTTAATAATTTCAATATAAATTTAATTTAGTATTTGTAATTGAAAATAACAATCCAATTAATTATTAGTTTATTTATAGTTCCAATAAAGTTGTGATCAATTGATGTATTTATTTGAATTTAACGATAAAAACATGTTTATGTCATTGATGTTATAGACTCTGTTATAGAAAATCTAATGAAATTAATGATGATTTATTAATTAAGTCCATTATATTCAATTTATTTATATCCAAACAATTATTATATTACAAATTAGTATTTTAAAAAATATTTATATATTTTATCAAGTATTAAAATACTTTATATTTGATGATAACTTATATATAGAAATATTTCACTTAAAATAAGTAATAATTTAATTAAGAAATAAACTTAAAAACGGGAAGATTGTTAACCTGCCCGGGAAGCACCCGACACACTATATGGCAATTATGTAATAATATAAAATTATGTTAAAACAATTTAAACATTAAATAAATATAATTATATATAATTCAAACATTTGTTTTATCAAACCTCTGTCTAATATCCGGAACAACATTTGAGTCAATGATTCAATTATGAGACAAATAAAGCTTTTAATAATAACAAAGATATGTTTATATATACTGTGTATTCATAAATAAAGATAATTCTGTTATTTTTTGTATTTATATTTTATAGTTCAACAATAATAATGTGAATAAACTTTATGTTTGTATAAATAAAGAGATATAAAGAATAGATTGACAGTCAGTTTGACAATAATTGCTGATATTCTTTAATATTGTGTTTTATGTGTCAGTTATTATGTCATTCACCTCAAACCAAAAGCAAGCTTAAGGAGCGGTTATATCCAAAATATTATTGATTTTTTTAGTTTAGTAGTAAATAAATTTTATAAAGAGTTTAGAAACTATATAAACCAGAGTTTATAAAGGTTTTAGATTTTGGGTAAAATTCCAACAATTAAAATATCTTTGGGGGTATTGGGTGGGGTCAACAATTTTTACCAAATTTTAGTAAATTCCATATAAATTCACTGAAAAAAATATTGCCAACTTAATTCCTTCATAATAGTAAAAAAAATTTCAATTTTTACAAAGTTTAGAAAATAATGAAAAGTTTTGCATAAAAATATATAAAAGGTATAAAAAAGTTACAATAATTATTTGATTTTGACTTTTAAAGTATAATAATTAAATATATAATAAACATCTAGTACTCAAAAATTATATTTTTTGTAATCTAAAAATTAACTAAATTGTATTAATTATTGTTTCTTAAAAAATAATAATAGTAAAATATAAAATAATAGACTAATAACAATTCATCAAAATAATTATTAATATAAATAAATAAATTGGAAATATATCTTTATGTAGTATTTCATATTGAACCCTAATTAACACATTTTATTCAGTATTTAATTAGTTTTATTTTGTTTATTTTTTATACATAGGCTATTGTCTATATTTTATAATGTAAATTAAATTAATAGTAAGAACTACTGTATATCTTTTAATATTTATTTTGAATATATTATTCTAAACTGTAAATAAAGTAAAAAATAAAAAATCAATATTTTTGATTAGTATTAATATAAATTTGAAACAATATATAAATATGTGTAAATTGTCTGTAAATTCTTGACATAAATTAATATAACAAACACATTAAACAGAGGGATAGGGAGCTTAAACTTAATAACATATGGAGCTCAGGGATTTCGATTTACCTTAAAGTATATGAACAGAGATTGATGCCAAAGAACTGATGTCTAAACCCCGACAACACGCATGTGGACAGACTTTACACATGCAATGACTGAATGGATGGTTACTATAGTATCGTAAGTATCGATCGGTTAAGTCATCAATACTACTGGTGGGTGTATTCAAGTACTGAAGTATATAAAACACATGGACTTGCATTTGAATGTTAGTTCACTATATGTCTTGAAAGGTCATAAGTATATTACTTAAGAAGTGGTTTCTATTATACATACAGAATATTCTTGTATTTTCTTTCAAGTTATTACTAAAACTGTGTATAACTGTATTGACGGTATTGAAAACAAGTTGTTTTAATTGAAACTATAAATTTCCGGCAGTGAATATTAAACAACAAAGTTTTTAAATATTAACTTAAAATTTGATTTTATATGTTTTAACATTAATTTAATAATTTTAATTTTATTATTACAAAAAGTTTTATTCACATTACAGCTCACATTAACGGTAAGCCGCGTTTGATATCCTTTATAATTTTGATATAGTTTTGTTTTTACTTTGGTAAAAGTATTACAGTATATAAAAAATATGTTTATTATTTAATAAAATTTAATCCAAACATAAAACTTTACATATAAAAAATAAATTTATTTTTTTTCTTATTTTTTATAAATAAAATTAGATTTGAATTTAAAGTCAAATATTTATTTTTAAAAATTGCTAAAAATAATAATTGCAAGCAAAATGATGACACAAATAGTTTTATTGATGTTATTGTTGACAACAATCATAACAAATAAATTGATTTGTGAGGGATTAGCCATTAAACCCAATTCAGCCGATTCTTCGCAAAATCGCATTCTTTATCCTAAATCTGAAATCAAAGATACGGTTCGTCAGTCAGAAACCAAACCTTCACTTAGTTTACAACCGCCGAGTATTTTATCCGATTATTACAATCAATTAATTCAACAAAAAGTGGCTCAAAATAGGCCACAATTACCTCTAGTAAATAATTGGCCGCAACCAGACTTAATGCCGCCATCCAATAACAATGACTACGAGGGTTTTATTGATGACTATTATAGCGACGATACGGGCACCGGGATGTTAAACTCAGCACAGAGTGATACGATTTATGGTAGCGATTCCTATCAGCCCGAAGGCTGGTTCAATGGTCCGGCAATTTATGACACACCAGATATTGGCTTTCAAAATGACGAGTCAAATGATGCACAAATGAATGCATTGATGATGGCGTACCTCTTGGACCAGTTCGACAAAATCAACAAAATTAAAGATCAAAACAATAAAAGATCAACAATTAGTGGCAGCGATAGTAATAATATAGGAGTGGTTACTACAACCACACAACCATTAACTACCGAATCTTCAGTCGCCGCTAAAATCACAACACACGCCATCCCTAAGAAATTGACTGCAAAACAGTTTCGTCTTTTTCAAAGAGGACAGAAAGAGTTCCCATTATTAAGACCGGCTGCTGATGAAGACAAGACTGAATTACAACAAAATCAATGGCCAACAGAATTGGATGAAACAAATTTATCACAGGTTTGAAACCAATTTTTATTTGTCTTTAAATATAATCATTTTTTAATATTTAATTATATAATTAGATTTATTATTTTAAAATCCGAATTATGTAAAGGATTTTAATATAAATTAATAGTGATATTAGTAAAAGATTTATGTATTATTAGATTTATGTATTATGTATTATTATTTTATTTAAAAAGTCAAAAAATATTATTTGTTTTATTTATGTTACCAATTATAAAAGTAAAGAAAAAGCAAAAATAATTATTATCTTATATTATATGTAAAATTAATTCAAAAAACATATATGATTGTAAAGTAATGTATTATAATTGGAGTTAATATGTTTTTATAATTAAATTTGTGTGTCTGTTATTCTAATTTTTATTAACAATTTATTGATAATTATATTTTAGTTTAATTTAATTAACTGTAATTTTTGTACAGTTTTATGGACTATAAAACAATATATTGTATAACATTATACAACTACTGTATATCTCTATTAAGTTATAAAGTATTTTATTAAATTAGATGACAGATGAGATTTGTTAATAAAGATAATTATTGTATATTAATGTATTGTACTGTAGTTAAGGGATCAGACGATACTATTATTTAATCTATAAATAAATTAATTTTTAATACATTTTATTAATTCTTATGACATCAACAGTTATGCTTTGAATTATTATTTATTTTTATTAAAGACATATTTAATATTTATTTATAATTTAATATTTTAAATGCAAATAAATGCTAGAAAATCAATATATTAAAAAATTATATCAAAATATTATTATAAAATATATTTCTTTGTAAAAAGAGTACATATAAATTTTTCGTATAAAATATTTGATTATTAAAGTTTTATGTTTTCTGATTATGATAGTTGACTCTTATATCGAATTTATGTTAAAATGATTAAATACTTATAAATATAAATGATTTGTTGAAATAGTTGTCTATATTAATAATAAAAATTAAATAAAATTTATTTTGTTGTGAGTAAACAGTAATTTTATTATTGAAACACATATATATAATATATTTGTATTTTGATTAATAGAAAGAAACCTCATAAATGATATAATATATAATAAGTTATTTATTGTCAACTATTTTTGACAAAAGCAATCTAACAATTCTCCATTTGTTTGGTTTATTAACCAAAATATCTTTTATTTATTTTTATATTATGCTGTATTGTATATCAACTGTAATATATTTTGTTGTTTTGTTTTATACAATAGTATCTTTTATTTTATATTTGTTTAATAATAATTGTATATATATAAATATATAAACTTTAATTATATACAGTATACACAGTATACATAATTATATATAAAATTAAAATGTAACAGTTGTATATACATGAATTGAATAGACATTATAAATAACAATATTTTTAATTTAGTAATTTATTGAAATTTTATCATTGGAAAACAGTAATCTTTAATTATTAGTTTATTAATAATTAATATTAATAGATAAAGTTTGTTTAAAGTATAATATTGTTATTTGTTATGTTATTTGTTAATTAAAATAATACAAAAATAATCGATAAATATAAAGTAAATATTTAAATATTATAAGTATATTATTTTAACAAATATAATATTTGTATGAATAGAGCTTTTATATAATAATAGTACTATTTATCCGTATATCGACCCATTATTAAATGTATGTATATTTATATATATATATAACTGTTATGTGTCGACAACAAAATTCATTGATGTGTTGGTGCCATTAGATTAACTTTTCGGTTAAATGACGGTTGGGTTAGAGTATTGACGCAAAGACACACGTCATACAAGCCTTTCACTCATTCATATAACATAAAAGTTACGTTAAATACAAATCCTAATGTCTCCAAATGCTCTCTCCATCTCTCCTATAGACCCTCTCACAAACTCACTCATTATTCTCCTCTCCCACTCTCTCTCTCTCTCTCTCTCTCTCTCTCTCTCTATATATATATATATATATATATATATACACTTATTTATATATAACTTACTGATAACTCCCGCAATGTTATAAATGACTGTCGTTTACGTATAAAAATCAATGTTTTTGTTGAGAAATGCTATAAATAGCAACTATTTATTGGAAAACTAATCAATCAATTGTTTAGTACTCTATAAATATAGTCAAATAATATATGTACACATTTGTAGTAAACATAAGAATACAATTAGTCACAATTGTTAGTCAAATTAGTTTTAAGAAAACTAAATATAACTTTCAATTAATATATAATATACTGGTATTTATAATACTTATATTGATTTTATAGGAGGACTCGTTGTTAAGTTTGAAACAACAAAACGGTAAACTGAGACCAGTTAGAGACGTATTGACGGCACAGTTGGACAGTCTTAAAAAGGAAGGACCTAAAATTCATTAAAATGAGTGATACCCCGACATAAAAACACCTATAATCTCCATCTAATCATAAAACCATCTCATTTCCCAATAATGTTTAAACCAATTTATTAAACTTCTGGACACAAAACAACAACATTCCTAAGCGATACTACTTTACAAAAGTATTCAAAACAATTGTAAGAAATCAATCAATTAATTCACAATCAGTAAATGTTTGTATTATATATATTTAATATATTGTATAATGTAATCATTTGTGAATAATATCTATGTTTTATCTAATAAGAAATATCAATTAACAACTTTGTAAACATTTTAACTATAATTGTGTCGTATTATTAAAAAAAGAGTTAATTACAAATTTTTAAAAAATAATAGTAAAGGATTTTGAAATTTTAGTTTCCAGGGATAAGATATCCTTATTGTTACATCAAATTGTGATGATTTGTCTAAATTATTGATACATATGTGTAAAATGAAGTCAAATGTATAAATTATAAATATTATATTGATAATTTATGGAGGTTGATATATAAAAGCGATTGGATAAGTAAATTTTATATTATATATGAAAAATAAAAGTGTAATTTCGTACTAAAAAATGTTTAATGATTTTTATACATTAAAATTTATTGTTATGAAATAAATGAATAATTTATATAATAAAAATTAAAAATACAGTTTATAAACAAAATTATTCTAAAAATTGATATTTTAATTTAAAAATTTTTACTTGAAATTTAATTATGTAATATACCGTATTAAAAATAACATGAAATTTATGTTAATATTAATGTGACAAAAAATGCACTCAAATCTCATTTTGTGATAAATCAAATATTTATTATTATTTATTACTATTTAAATATAGTTTATATCAATATCTATATAAACATAAACTGTTAAATATCTCACTACTACTGAATAGTGCTGTCTTTCCAAATAAAAAATAAAATCTATGTTAACATATGTTAAGCTATAAAATGCTTTCACATATCAATTGCTAACAAAATAAAAGCAAATTTGTAACATATTTGTCTCAAGTATAATATAGTAATTTAATTTTAACATTATTTAGTTTAAATTAAATATATTACTGACTTTTATTATGTCTACAATTGTTTAAAGCACTATTTAAAATAATTATAAATTATAATTAAGAATTCATAAAATTATTTTAAAAATGTGTAGTTTTGTAAAAATCACTTTTATGTCATTTTCATATTATTGATCAATAAACTGTGTATGTTTTTAAATTAATATTTTTAAAATTTTAATTGCTATATAACACGTTAAATTAATATAAATTAAAATTTAATTGTAAAGCTGTATTAAATTTGCTTTTTAATTTTTAAACATTATATCACTAAATGTATATGTAATGTACAAAATTAATTCAAATATTTTGCTGAGACTAAATCACACCATTATGTGTTCAGTTTATAAGTTGCTATTAATTTTAAATTACATGTTTATATTAAAGTATGTTTGTGTCAATTTAAATTAAAAGCACAGAATGTGTGAAATTTTGTAAAACAAATATTAAATCAATTGTTTAAAGATAAATAAGTTGGTCAGAGGAATCAATCAATTAAATTGTATTATAAATAAAAATTTTCATAAATATATTTATGTTTTCTCTATTATACACATTATTATTATTTGTTTTTTAGTTAAAAGACAAATTAAAAATATTTATTTCAGGTAATATTATAATACTTTTATTAAATAACATAATATTAATTTCAATACATGCTATACATGTTACTCTTGCTGTATATCTAAAAAAATTGTTGGATGATAACTTTAACAATAAAAATTGACTATTTATAAATATACATAATTTATTATAAATTAAAATCATTTGTTATTAGATAAAACAATAACAACATTGAAAATGTAATTTATTTTTGTTTCTGTGAGATCCTATTATTAAGATTATGTTTGCTGTACTGTTGAACCTATTGAAAAAAATTGATTAAAAAGCATTATTTTGTGTAAATTTATTCCCAAGCGATCCATTGTTTTCTTTTCTTATTTGTTAATATTTATATATTTACTATAATGTTATACATTTAATATTATAGTTTTTTACATCTTTTATAAAAGTAAGTGTAATGTTATTATAGATTTACTGTATATACTGTTTATAAAATATATCGGATTAAAGTATATTCAACTGAAATAACAATTTTGTTTTTAATAATATTAATAATTTAATTTATCAATTTGCAATAAATACATAACAGTGTAATATTTTACTCGGTTACTGTAAATATATATATATATATAAATTTGTAACAAATCTAAATACCCCTATAATGTTACAGTTATTGGCAATACCTGCTGAATAAGTTTCAATTGAATTGCGAGAACCGGTATATTATTGACGTAATGTCTACACAAACTCTATTATAAAAAGAAATAAGTTAGGAATCGATTTTCTCTAACACTTTCGCCCTTTCGACCCAATTCTGGGATGTATTGCAACAAAATAGTTATATTTTTATGCATTTTTGTGTGCAATACTTTAAATTATATTTTTTATTTAAAAATATAAATTCTATATCAATACATATATATATATATATATATATATATATATATATAATTTATACAGACATAATGTTTTCTATTTATAAATATACAGCTTTATTTTTATACAAAATAAAGTGTCTAATAGTTTTCTTTAGAATCTTTCTCTCTCTCTCTCTCTCTCTCTYTCTTTCTCTCTCTCTCATAAAAACTCCATAAAATATATTTTAGATCATTTTATTATTCTATACAGAAATATAAATTTACAAATATTTATACCTAATTCTAGATAATATGTATTAACCAGTTGAGAATGCTAGAAAGCATTGCCCAGAATTTTTTTAATGGAGTAAATTACTTCTTATATTCTGTTATAGTTTTAAATTATTTTTTAAATATAACTAAAATATTCATTGCTGATAACTATTAGTCTGTGTGAATAATATTATACCCAAAATAATTATTGAAAAATAAGCTAGTTATTTTGAGTTAAATTTTATATTAAATTTATCTTATACAATATATAATTATTTCTAATTTTACTTTTTTCAAAATTTTTAAAGATAACTTTGTCGGTCATATTGATTATGTTAACGACAATATACGATAACACTTTTTAAGGAATCCTATTCTACATTTGAAAGCTTTATATAAATTCATAGTCAGAATTTTAAGTTTGGACTTTTAAAAAAAATATTTTTTGACAATTTTGCTGATAAAGTATGTCATTTTTGATGGTCACCCCCTATACCTTATTATTAATGTTTAAACCGAATTTGAAGTCAAAATTTCAAAATTCTCAAAATAGTATGCGATAGTCATACATATTGCAATTGCGATAGTGCACTTTCCAGAAAACAAAATTTTTTCAAAAATTGTTTGAAAATATTGACAAAACACAATGTAGATTAATAAATAGAATTAACAGAAAAAAATATTGATATTTTTTAAATTGTAATATATAATATAACTAATAATTACTGTATAAACGCATTATATTTTCATTTATATAAATTAGTTTCTAAGTCAAATAAATTAGTTATATTACTTAATGAATATATTAACAAATATATTAATTATCGTACAATTTTATATATAGGCTCATAAACTATTATATATTTGTTTACTAAACGTTGAGTTATAGAATACAGTATATTATATAATAAATATCATTCATAAACAAATAGTAAAAATATATTGTATATTATATTTATTAATTTAATTGTCAAATATAAATAGAATTATTTTTATATTCAATAAAAAGTATATAGTATTTGTGATTATAATATTAATTAAGTTGTAATAAAAAAAATACAAAAATAATATACCGGTAAGTAATTATATATTATAAGAATTAAATTATATTGTATTAAATAAGTATTAGAAAAATATAAATTGCTAAGCTTTAAATAAAATTTACTGATTTAATTAATTATATAATATATATTATTGCAGTATATTTATTATAGCATATTATTAATAATCATCATAATAATATTTTTAATAGATATTTGAAATTAAAAATAATGAAAATATTATATTTTTAATGTTTTCAAATATAAAAAACATTAAATAATTCAATAAATACTAATTAAAAGTGAAAAAAGTGATTTTTATTATAACAAAAATACGGTAATTTACAGAATATTTTAGTTGACTTTTATAGTTAATGGTTAACATATCATTTAGATAGTTATTTAACTCAAATTTCATAATTTAATGTTAACCACATTAATGTTAATATCAATGTTTCTAAAAATAACTTTAATGTTATCGCAAAAATCATAATATAACTGTTTTCCTGCTCTCTATTCTATGAATAAAACATTATATTAAACATTGTATTTTGACTTTTCTTACAAATTAAAATTGATATCATTGTTATGACATCTTTTAGCTCATTAAACGCTTTATATTAAAAACTTTTTATTAAAAAAATCTTAATTCTTAATAAACATTGATATATAACTAAATAAGTTTTATAAGAGACAATCTAACTCTCCGTTACAGTTTAAACTAACTAAACTAAAAAAACTAAAAAAAATTATGATTTTAATTTTATATGACTTAAAAATTGAATATTTTTTAATATTAAAGTTATGCTTAGTTTAGAAATTATTATTATAATTATTTTTGGAAAAATATTAAAAATATTTTTTTAAAAGTTTGTTATAACTGTTTATTGTTTGTAAATTCAATTCTTATTTTAAAAATTACAATATTATTATAATAAACAATCATATATTGTCTATTGTATGTCTCCCTCAAACTTACTTATATCTAAAAAGTAGACAAAATATTATACAGTATTATATAACAATTAGTTATATAGTGTTGAATAAATATAAGACACTTGTGAAGTGTCGAAACAGATATCTGTCCGCTTATTACTTGTGTTACGAGTAAACATTGATATCAATTGAAGGGGTAATCAACAAAAAATTTTAGAAAAATTCTAAAATTAATAAAATAGTTAATCAATATTTTAGTTTATTTGTTTTTTTATGTTAAGATTATAAGTCAATTTCTATGTCAATTTATAAATGATTTGTATTTAATAAAAACACTTGAATTAAATTTTCAATGTTGACATTATAACAAAATAGTAAATTTTATTTAATACTATGTTATATGGTATGTCAATAATATTTCATTATTATTTTTTTCCAATAAAAACATATTTTTATAAAAGTTTTAATAAACATATTCTTATA